TACTTGGGCAGGATTAATCTCTCTGGAATACCACTCTGACCTTTGCACCCTGGGTCTATTAAATGGCCACTGGGTTCCCATTTAATTTCATTGAGTTACGTTTATTGAATAAAATCAATATCCATCATCTCCAATATCCAACCTATTCCTCTAGGTTCTGGCTTCTGGTTGACCCTTCTGTCTTTCCCCTTAGAGGACCCACCAGCCTAACAGAAACGCTCATGGCTCACCATTCATCCTCCATGCTGTCCCACCCCCAGGGGTTAGCGCCACTGTTACTCTTCTTTGGAATCCCCTCCCTCTCCTTCGACTCCACTCCCTGCAAGTGCAAACTCTATCTAGTTTACAAAGCCCCAATCACAGGCCACCTGCACCACGAAGCTTATCCTGAGTGGGAAGTGTCCTTGCTTCCTCTGAGTTCCAGTGGCACTTCTTGCCTTCCTGGCCTAGGGAAAGCAGCCACTCCCCTCCCTGTATTAGAGCAGCAGCTTTTAAGTTTCCCCCAGGAGGTCCCCTCAGACCTGGCTGGGGTGAGAGGGTGGTGACAATGAAGGCCAAGTGCACGGGGCTATGGACTCTACCCTCTTCATCCAGAACAACTACCACTTCACCTGTTTGTACATCTGCTTATACACCTGCGTGAGATTTCATCTGAAGAAAGGGTTCTCGGAGGAAACAAACCTTGACCTCGGTGAGAAGTTATAACTGACACCGCACAAATACAAAGGATCACAAGAAATGACTATGAACCACAAAATGACTATAACACCCCAAAAATGTACAACCTAGAAGGAATGGATAAATTCCTAGAAACGTACAATCTCCTGAGACTGAATCAGGAAGAAATAAAAAATACGAACAAATTACCAGTCATAAAATTGAATCTGTAATAAAAACTCCCAACAAACAAAAGTCCAGGACCAGAGAGTTTACCAGGTGAATTCTACCAAACATTTAGAGAGGAGTTAACACCTATCTTTCTCAAACTATTCCAAAAACTTCAACAGAAAGGAACATTTCTGAACATGGTCTACGAGGCCAGCATCATCAATACCAAAACCAGACAAAGACACCACAAAAAAAGAAAATTACAGGATAATATCACTGATGAACTTAGATGCAAAAATCCTCAACCTAATATTATCAAACCAAATTCAACAATACATTAAAAGGATCATACACCATGATCAAGTGGGATTTATTCCAGGGATGCAAGGATAGTCCAATATCTCCAAATCAATCAATGTGATACACCACATTAACAAATTGAAAAATGAAAATCATATGATCATCTCAACAGACGCAGAAAAGGCTTTCGGCAGAATTCAGTATATATTTATGATGAAGACTCTCAACAGTGTCGGTATAGAGGGAGCACACCTCAACATAATAAAAGCCACATATGAAAATCCCACAGCTAACGTCATATTCAATAGTGAAAGCATTTCCTCTACGATCAGGAACAAGACAAGAACGCCCACTCTTGCCACTTTTATTCAACATAATACGTCCCCAGCCATAGCAATCAGACAAGAAAAAGAAATAAAAGGAATCCAAATTGGAAAGAAAGAAGTAAAACTGTCACTGTTTGAAGATGACATGATACTATATATAGAAAACCTTAGAGGTGCCACCAAAAATCTAAAAATCTGTTAGAACTAATAAATGAATTGAGTAAAGTTGCAGGATACAAAATTAATATACAGAAATCTGTTGCATTTCTATACACTAACAATGAACCATCAGAAAGAGAAATTAAGAAAACAATCCCACTTATAATTACATTAAAAAGAATAAAACACCTAGGAATAAATCTAAACCAGGAGGTAAAAGACCTGTATTTGGAAAACTCTTAAGACTCTGAAGACAGCACAAACAGATGGAAAGATATACCATGTTCATGGATTGGAAGAATTAATATTGTTAAAATGACCATACTACCCAAGGCAATCTACAGATTCAATACAATCCCCACCAAAATACCAATGGCATTTTCACAGAACTAGAATAAATAACCCTAAAATTTTTATGGAAACACTGAAGACCCCAAAGAGCCAAAACACTCTTGAGAAAGAACAATAAAGCTGGAGGTATCACACTCCCTGGTTTCAAACTACACTACGAAGCCACAGTGATCAAAACAGTAAGGTACTGGCACAAAAACAGACACGTAGATCAATGACACAGAATAGAGAACCCAGAAATAAACCCAACTTACATGGATGGTCAATTAATCTACAACAAAGGAGACAAGAATATACAATGGGGGGAAAGAAATTTCTCCAATAAATAAACAAAACCTCCAGCTGAGAAAACTGGACAGCTGCATATAGAGGAATAGAATTAGAACATTTTCTCACACCGTATACAAAAAAAAACTCAAAGTGGATTAAAGACTTAAATCTAAGACCTGAAAACATAAACCCCCTAGAAGAAAACATAAGCAGTATGCTCTCTGACACCAGTCAGAGCAATGTATTTTTTGTTTAATATGTCTTCTCAGACAAGGGAAACAAATGCAAAACTAAACACATGAGAATACATCAAACTAAAAGGCTTTTGCACCATAAAGGAAGTCATCAACAAAATGAAAAGGCCACCTACTGAATGGGAGAAAATATCTGCAAACAATATATCAGATAAGGGGTTAATATCCAAAATATCCAAAGAACTCATACAACTCAACATCAAAAATAAATAAACAACCCAATTAAAAAATGGGCTGAAGACCTGAATAGAAATTTTTCCGAATAAGACATACAGATGGCCAACAGACACATGAAAAGATGCTCACTATCACTGATCATCAGGGCAATGCAAAGGAAAACCACAGCGAGATATCGCCTCACTCCTGTCAGAATGGCTGTTATCAAAAAAGCAGCAAATAACAAGTGTTGGTGAGGATATGGAGAAAAGGGATCCCTTGTGCACTGCTGGTGAGAATGCAAATTGGTGCAGCCACTATGGAGAACAGTATGCCAGTTCCTCAAAAAATTAAAAACAGAACTACCATACAATCAGCAATTCCACAACTGGGTATTTTTTCAGCACAAAAACTAAAACACTCATTCAAAAAGATATATGTACCCCTATGTTCACTGCAGCATTATTTTCAATAGCCAATATATGAAAGCAACCTAAGTGCCCATCAACAGATGAATGGGTAAAGAATATGTGGTATATCTACACAATAGAACATTACTCAGCCATAAAAAAGAATGGAATCTAGCCATTTGTGACAACATGGATGGACTTAGACGGTATTATGCTAAGTGCAATAAGTTAGATAAAGACAAATACCATATGATTTCACTTATATGTGGAATCCAAAAAACAAAACAAATGAACAAACGTAACAAAACAGAAACGGACTCAGAAACAGATACAGAAAACAAACAGGTGGTTGCAGAGGGGAAAGGGGTTGGAGGGGTAAGTGAAATATGTGAGGGAGATTAAGAGGTACAAACTTCCAGTTGCAAAACAAATGAGTCATGGGGATGAAATGTACAGGATGGGGAAATACAGTCAATAACTGTGTAATAACTTTGTATGATGACAGACAATAACTAGACTTACTGTGGTGATCATTTTGTAATGTATATAGAAATATCCTATCACTATGTTGTGTACCTGGAACTAACGTAGTGTCGTAGGTCAATTATATGTCAAGAAACAAACAAACAAACACGACACACAGGCTTCTAAACATTAAGAGAAAAAAAATCCATCATTTCGTTGTACCATTTACCTTTACCAAGACTGGTAAAAATCCACCACCCTTATTAGAGAAATAACTCAAAGTTCACTCTTTACTGAAAATGGGTCAGTAATGTCTTCCTTGGAAACAAAGGACAGCAAACCATTGTAGGATTAAAAATAATTCTCAAGCTTTTTCTTCATTTGTTACTGAATCAAAAGTTTTGGCTGTTTTTAGTGCCCAAAGAGCATCAAAAACGTTGTTTCAGATGAACAGTTTTGTGAGCCGTCCTATGTAATATAGATGATTTCATTGTCTAGTCTAGAAATGTGGAAATCTAAAACCATGAGGCAATAGCTTGGTATTTTACAACTTAAAAGGATGGTTTATTCAAACAATTGGTTAGAATCACTATAAATTAAATAAAATTTCATTTGATAGAAAAAAAGGTCTTGACCTCAGTGAGCTGGATGTTGGGTGACAATGTCAGGAGACCCCGGGGCTGGACAGGGGGCAGTAGGACTCGCCTCGGTGCCTCCACAAAGCTGTCACACGGCAGAGGCGCCAAAAGATACGGGATTTATCACGAGCACCTGGACTAAAAGGCAGTCGGACTAGAGAGCATCACGGAGGCTCCTGACTGTTGGTTTACTGCTCCTCCCAAGGTGGGAAGGGGCTGCAGCAAACCCAATGCGAGGTGCCAGGACGTGGGGCGTAAGCCCGTTAACCTCAAACAGTGGCCCCAAAGCAAGGCTAATGCTTCAGAGGGAGAACGAGCATCACTGTCACATTTTGAGGGCCTGGGTCTCAGAGTGGGTGGTCCTGGGTGGGGTCCAAATCCCGGATTCTGACTTGGGAAGGGGAAAGGTAAACCCACCAACCTAACAGAGGAGCAGAAGTACTCAGGCAGAGGATGCTTTTATTCTACCCACCTCACCTCTGTAGAGAGGGAGGTGAATAGGAGAAAGTGCATTTATTTTAAAAGCAAAAGAATTCCAAGATAGTAAGCGGAGACCACCACCTGTGATGGGAGCGGGAAGGCCGTCAGACCATAGTTACTTCACATGATAATAAGCGCCCTTGATGCCTGAGGAGGGTAGAACTGTGTAGATAACCCCTCCCCTCTTTTCTCTCACAGGTGACTCAAACACCGTAAGGTTACTTTCTCTGACAGCTATCTCCTGGTTACCAGGCTGCAGAGCAGTCCCAGGTAAAGATTCGGCACCCAGACAGGGGTCAAGGAGTTGGGCTGTGATTCAGGGAAGACGCTGATGAGAACTGGGGGCCTCTGTTCGACACCTGAAGCAAAGGGGCTATGCGGTATGGGCCATGTCTGGGGAGTTGAGGCACAGGTCTTTCTGGAAGCAGACGACGCGGGGGGAAGGTGCATGTGCCTGTGCTGGGGGCAGCACTCCTGTGTCGCTGGTGATGCCGACCCCTCGCCCACCCAAAGCAGGGCCAGGAGAGTCTCATGCGGCCACCAGGGCGGACAGCGCAGAGGAGAGCCTGCGGAGAGCACTGCTCTGGGGCCTCCCCGCCCTGGCTGTCCCGGGGGCTGCGCAGAGGCCGGCAGCCCTGCCCCGTGGTGCTGTCCCACACTGCGTGTCCTCTAGAGCTCCGGGGCCGGCTGCCCCACGGCCTGCTCCTCCACGGGCTGCATGGCCTCCTGCACGTAGACGATGAACTCCGAGGCCTCCCCGCCCTGCGTGTAGACGGTTACCGTCTCAATGCCCTCCACGTCGTCGGAGGACACCACCAAGTGATGCTGCTCAGCCAGCTCCACGGAGGCCTGCTGGAGGGTCTCCTGGATCATGACCGTGTGGTTGGAACTGGGCTCCTCGTCCGTGACCTGTGGGAGGGCAAGAGAAAGGTCACACGGGCCCCACTTCCAGGTCCAGCAGGACAAGAGAATCACAGCGACTGCCTATGGTGCATCTGGCACATTCCAGGAGCTGGTCCTTCCTGCACAGAATCATCTCAGCAATGCTCTACGCTTGCTTTCACCCCCGGTTTATAGATGAGGAGAGCGACGCTCACCGGTGCAAAGCAACGTGGTCAGGGGCCCCAGCTGGGGCTAATGGTGGAACCCAAGTTCAAACACCCAGTCCAAGCTCTTCTCGTGATGCCTCCCAGAGGCGTGGGAGTTGCCGAGGCACTCTAGGAGTTACTTCCTGCAACCGTGTAGAGGGTTGGGTGCGGGGTCTCCTGGAAATTCATAGCTGGTCCATTTGGTGGTGAAAAAGGGACTAGTTTATCCTGGCTTATCTGTCTCTCCACACACTCTGGGAGCTCAGCTCTGTGTATGAAGATCAACAGCACACCAGGCAGGAGCACACGCCCTTGCACGCCTGGTTTTGCCCAGGTGTCGTCCTTCAACACTAGTGCCTCAGAGCCACGGGAGGGGTCTGCTGATGGGCACTCACTGCCCCGGGGCTCTGTCAGTGGAGGGGCCTGCTCACTCCTACGGGCGGGCCTTTCTCTGTAGCTCCAAGCAGGCTGATTCCAGACAAGGCCAAATTCCAACTGGTGCTAAGGCCCCAGCTCCCTGACTGTGCATTCTGGTCTGTTTTACAACTGTCTTTGATTCTGAGAACAGCAATGATACAAACAATATGGGAAAGATTTAGAAAGTGTTGAGACCCTAAGAGCTGCAAAAATGACTGAAGGATTAGAAAACCAGCCCAGGAGGACAGTGAAGGGGCCTGGACTTGCTGAGCTGGGGAACGAGAGCCCTCAGATGTAGGGAGGGATGTCACGGAGACCGGCCTTCCCCAAGGGGTCTGAAAGGCGAGGTGGAAAGAACTTTGTCCTGCACTTCGCAGGGCTTACACAGCAGCTCCCCCGCAGTTAGCTGTGAGCCTTGCCCACTCTCCCCTATGACTCTCAGGTGTCTCATCTGTAAAACAGGGACGAAAATGCCCACTTCAGAGAATGGCTAGGAGAACTGAAGATTCCGTATGCAAAGTGGGTGCTTAATAACATCACCGTGCTTCTGGTGTCTTCATTCGTGTACTGAACAACGTTTTCTTAAGGTACTGCGGCATGTCAATTATTCAATCATTCATTTTATCAGGTCATTTTATCAGGTCCCAGTGGACTGAGCTCCGTGAGGGCTAGGACGGCACTGCCCCGGCACAGCTCTTCCCCCAGAGCCAGGTGGGCAGGGCGGATGCCTGGCACGAAGCAAAAACCCAGTATTTGTGCAACGATGCTCCACTGGGTGCAGGTGCCCTGATGGGCGCTCAGGCAGCACATGGTGGAAAACCAGTCTAGCGGGGCAGACACAGGAACCGAGCGATGCTCTGACAGAGTGCCAGGGCAGCCTCCGGAGGAGGCATGGGGATGGGACTCCAGGCAGAGAGGGCAGAAGGAGCAATGACTCCCAGGACCCCCAGGAGAGACTGGAAGCAGTGGGTTTGCTCAGGTGGCCTCCGTGAGCTCCCATTCGTGACGCTTCTGACTCCCTTCACAGCTGGAGCCTGGTGTGGGACGGTCTCCTCCCTGCCTGGCCCTCTATAACAAGCCACGACCCCGCGCCGTCTCTGGGAATGCCCCATGCGGGTTCCAGGGGTCTCCCTCGGCCCTGTGCCTGTGTCATTCCCTGACAGCAGGAAGGGCTGTGTCAGACGGGGTCATGTTTAATGCAGAGAAGAAAATGGACAAGGCACCTCTGGGGTGGGCTCCACACAAAGTTACTGACTGGAAGGAACGTTTCACTTGGACTGACGGAATTTACCAGAAGCTAGAGAGATACCCTGAGTGGAAAGTATTAATCCATTTAGCCTGAGCTGTTTTTCTGCAGTAGATGGAGGCCTTTTTTTTCTTCTTCTTTTACTGTTTGTTTCAATCTCATTTAAATGGGAAAATGTACTGCGAACCGAGACTTTAGAAGTAAATATTGATTTATTTCACTTTGAAAGAAGGTACCTGACAGAAGGGTGGGAAACGGGGAAGGAATACTCAACAAATGCTTTTCTCTTAACTGTCAGTAAATTCTACATGAAGAAAGAAGTCAGGCGGCATGGGTGATTTATGCTGAGGTCCCAGCCTCAGGTGTGCAAAACAAGCTGATGCACTTCAGGTAAACAGATGACACAATGGTGCCCCCCAAAAAGGGTGAGATCAACCAATACACGAGCTTTGAGACACCCTCCTGGCACTGTCGTTCACACACAGTGATTGCCATCATCAGAAATGAAGCCTAAAAGGCGGAAGACGTCACCAGCCTAAGATTTCACTCTCTTCTTGGACAACCCTAGCGCCTCGATGGCTGAGTACTGACAAGGGCTGACACTACTGCCCCGGACAAAGACATCCCTGCCGGGCCCAGGGCTTTGATGAGCAGAGGCTGCAGCTCCTGTTCCCATGGCAGCAGGGTGGACACACACCCAGGAGCCGTCCCAGGAGGTCCCAGGACGACTGAGGCGTGGCCACTGCCCACAGATGTGGAAGAAGGGCAGAAACCAACATGAGGCCACCGTGCTCGAAATAAGGGCAATTACATGCTAACTCTGCCACATCAGGGCCCGGGGCCACTTTGTGAAAGGCGCTGTCTGCAGATGGTGGGAAAAGGCACGGCAGGCCGAGGGAAGGCGGCAAAGAGCAGGCATGTGCCCACAGCCCCACCAGGGCCACCGCCACCTCCCGGTCACCAAGCCCACTGGGCAGAGTTCCACCCTCACCTCCCCACACGGTCCTTTGCTGTCTGACGCTGCTGAGCCAACCTCCGCTTTACTCACTGAGACGCCCCCTTCGCTGCTTCCACAACCCTCCGATTCCAGGCTTCCCCACCACGCTTCTCGTGCCCTCCCTCAAAGCCCGGAGGACTCCTGCATCCCCATCCTGCGTCTCCTACGGGCCCCTCGTCTGCACTGAGGCTTTGCTCCTAGCTGAGCGAGGGACCCCAGACCTCGAGTGTGTCTGCACAGGGGAGGCTCCCAGGGGCTGTGTGTCTGTCCAAAGTGCATGAGTCACAGGAGAGGCGGTGCTGGGAAGCGGGGGCGGGTGAGGCCTGAAATGAGGTTCACAACCACATCCTGAAGAGCCTCACTCACCAGCTGAGAGACTGAGACTTGCTCTTACAAAGGAAGACGCTGGCGGCGTCCCAGGAAGCGTCCTGCATCACCCAATCCGCGGCAGCCCCTGAGCCGCAACTCGCCTAACATGGGAAGAGAAGACTTCGCATCATCTGTCTCTCCCTCTAAATAGCTACATTTATTTGCCCACATTACCTTTTCTACGTATTAAGTCTATTTAACATAATCCCTTCTCCATTTTTTTTTCCAATTTTCAGCTCTAGGGATTTGTCCTCCAGAATCACCAGTTAAATTCACTCACTGCTAATTATAAGAGTAAAATAAACTTTCCAAACACGGTCTGTTGGGCTTAATTCAGCAGACAGAGTGACGAAGACAAAGATAAATGTCCAGTTCACAGAAGTCCTGTGAAGAGTGGCCCTCCAGATGGCACAGCTGTAACAGGCGGGGCGTCCAAAGCCTAACTCACCACAAGTTTACGTTCTCACGAGCTTGAGTGAGCAGCTCCGCCGGCCCCGGAGAGGCCCCGCTTCACGTACGGCTGGAGAAACAGGAGCCAGGGGTGGCGGAGGGCTGCGTTACAGAGGGAGGCACGGAGGCTCCCTGCAGAGCAAGCCCCTCCTCCCACTTCCCACACTCCACCTGTTACATGATTCCCACTCTGTTTGTGGTTTGGCTTTGTGTTTCTGCAAACCATGGCATTCCTTCCCTGTCCCCGTGAAACCCAGTGGACACTCTCCCGGCCTCATCCCAATCATCTGCACACAGCATCTCGTGGCTTGCGCATCTCTGAATGAAACCTCTAACGTCTGGTGACTCATCTAAGGTCAAACAGCTGGAAAGTAGCAAAATCTGGACGTTAGTCTGGGTGACCTCAGGTCCGGGGACCTTCCTCAGCTGCTGTAGTGTGGCAGCAACTAAAGGGATTACAGGCCATAGATCAACAGGGTTGAATTATTACTCTTTACCCACCCCAATCAGTTTATGGCTGGCTGTATAGCTCTCGACCATTTTCTTTGTTCAAAACGATCACTCTAGTGGTTTAATCTACTAGCACAGGCTTAAAATTGTTCTCCACGGTAGAAATAATCTGGCTTCACAGTGTCATTATCCCCTGAGATGGGTACTCCCTTTTCCCCAAGTGCTGTATCTAACACATCTCCCAGCTAAATTATCGGCAGCATAGAGAGCTTAGTGGAAAACCTTAACCTATAGGACTGTGCAAATTATTCACTAAGTCAGCCTCTGAGTTCTGCAGCTCTGCCCACCTCAAGCGTTCCAGAATCTAGACCAGATCTCTAACAGACCAGGGCACTCTGCTGGGCTCTGTACTCGTGGGGAGCAGCTTCCCACCGAGACCCTGTCTCCTCCACGGAGATGACGGCGGCTAAGGGATAGTTGGGATGTGGGTGGGGTTGCTTGTGCCCCAGTCTGCACACCTCTGCTCTGCTGCACCGCCTCCCAAATACACAGACAGGGCCCTGCCATCTAAGACTTGGATGCTCAGCACCTCCCTCATGCCCTACAGGCTCTGCGTTAAGCGAGAAAAGGCTTATGTGTGAATGAGTGAAGAGGGCAGCACACAACCCTACGTGCCACACTGTGTGTCCCCTCACTGAGCACAGCCCCTTGGGCACCCGTGCCTGGCCAGACCCTGCCTGCCCGGAGCCGCCGTCCCATGCCCAGTGCCCTCCCGGCCCCCTGGGTCCTCCCCCAGCGTGGCTGCCCTGCTCGGAGCCCCTCCCTCACTCCCTTTGGGCTCCCACTCCATTGTCACCGCGTCCAACAGGACTTCCCAGAGCCACCTCCCTAG